GTGTGTGTGTGTGTGTGTGTGTGTGTGTGTGTGTGTGTGTTTGTAACTTGCTCTCCTAACACATCATCTTCTCCCTCACGATGCAAACACACATGCAGTGGTATATACATGTATGTGTGTGTGTGCTGTGAAGACACACACTCCACACTGAGTTTGGCAGGAAGACAGGTCCGTTGTCTGCGATGGTGGAAGCGGTCTGGATAGAAGTATTCTCATTTCAAATATAGCACTAAAATTTTTTTGTGTTGCATCTTTTAAAACGCCTCTGGAAGATTCATCTATTGTGGATTCTGTTTTTATTATTATTATTATTATTATTAAGGTGTGGTAAGTTCTTTATTTTTGCTTTACAAAGTACATCAGACTCCATTTCCCAGCAGCCAAAACCAATTTCTCTGATCCCAGTTACAATCCTCTGGCAGCCCGAGCTCAAACATGGGGTTCTTCTGCTCCAAAAATGTCTCCGAACGGTAAAGTCACTTTGGATCAAAGCATCTGCTAGTTAAGAGGACAATATTTTTTTTCAAGGGATTTGGCAGCTTTGGCGCAGTTCTTTAAGTCTTAACAGCAATTATTTCCGCATGACTTTCAACATCCTCCTCCCCCACTTTTTTCCTCCCTGGAGGGGCGGTTCAGAGAGGAGTGTGTGTGTGAGTGTGTGTGTGTGTGATTGGGTGAGAAAAATGTGATGCTCTGAGCTGTGGCGCAGCTCTCCCAGTCAAACAGTAGGTGGCACCGAGGCACAGTTCTGTAGTGTGACGGGTTGTGGTGGGGTTGTGGGCGGCGGGCAGTTGTGGCAGTTGTGCCTCCACTGGCATCTCCACAGCTGAGTCCAAACAAGGTTATGCCAACAAACAGCCAATCAGAAGGCAGTCTGAGGTAGTCCCTGCATCATCCTTTACTACAGGAGTGCTTGCAGTTGGTAGAAACTTGATGCCTGTTAGGTAAAAAGTTGGATTCAGCTGCCCTTTGTGAGCGAACTATGAATGTGGGCAGTGCAGCGTCTCAGTTCTTGTGTGGGTGTGTGTGTGTTAAAGGTGGGGGTGGGGTACATGAGGAAGGGGAGGCATTGGGGTGGTGGTGGGGGGGCTTGGTTGGTGTAAATAAATTATCATATGGCTCTGTGATCTGTGGAACCTCCATCTCTAGCTGGCCTCCTCTATGAGCCGAGCCAAGGTGTCTCTGAGCTCCGTCAGCTCAAAGATCTTGCCGTCGAGCAGCTCCAGCAGCGTCCGCAGGCTCTTCCTGAAGTTCTCCTGCTCCTCCTGGTTCTCCTCCAGCCGCTGCTCGGCTCCTGCCAGCTGCTCCTCCAGCACCCGGCTGCGCAGCTCCGTCTCCTGTGGACGGAGAGACAACAGGCGTTTCTGCATCGTAAGGCCCGGCTCCAGTCGGCMTGGTCTTATTAAACCCCGGTCCTGGTTGTGTTTGGATTGAGCAGAAAGCTGCACCGATGTGGGCGGGGTCATAATTTTAAACACACACAAGTTTTATTTCATTCCAGAGTTGTAAAGTAACTAAATACAAATACTTTGTTATTGTACTTAAGTAGAAATTTTGGTTAACTGTACTTTACTTGAGTAATTATATTTCAGCATACTTTTTACTTTTACTCATTACATTTTTACACAATTATCTGTATTTTCTACGCCACACGTTTTTTAAAACTGTAAGAAGTTTAGTTTAGTTTGGTTTGGTTTAGTTTAGTTTAGTTTAAAGTTTATTCATTTAAAWACAACACAAATTCAACATACAACAAAACACAAATCACAAATTAAACTAGACATGGGTTTTTACCTGCAAAATGAAATGGGACCAAGTTCAAATGTGTTTTCTATCTCAGGTTGTGCCTGTCACGTGAGCAGGTGTTTGTAATTAAGGTAATTGAGTGACAATATGAAGTTGGAAGAGATTTTTTGTTAACTGCATTAGCCAGGTTTTGAACTCTGATCTCCCACATGAAAGCCCACAGTGCTCATCATGATCTCATGATCTCCATCATGAGACTATAGGAGATGTGGCAGAGGACAATCCCAGGGATTGGATTGTATGTACAGAAAAAGT